TATCCAGTAGTTCAAAAAATAGTTTTTTTCAATAGGTAATTGGTTGTGGCGGAAAGTTCGACCTAGTTGGGATTACGACTCCACAGCAGAACAAGAACTTTGGAAATCCCCTGGATGCAACCTGAAATATCAAAAACCTTAAAAAATATATATTCTTTTGCAACCGTTAACCTGTTGTCACAAGTAGCCACTACTTTTGAAAAAGTGTACAATAGTTATTTTTGTATCTAGTGCGCGAAATGTCATTTTGGTGAACGAGAACGAAAGTTTTCGACTTTCGTTCTCGCAAACAATATTTTTTCTACTACTGAATTTAAATATCGATCTTCTGAGGCTAAAATTGCATTTACAATCGAAGGCAGGTGAATTTTAATTATTTTTGATTTCCTGTCAGGTATCAGGTATTTGTTACCTGAGTATGCGAACTAGGCATTTCGCAAACTGAAGAATCATTTCGCGCACTGGGTCAGGAAAACCTTAAAAAAAATCTAACTGGAAAAAAAGTTTCACTTCGCAAATTGTCATCAGTGCGCAAACATCATCTTTTTTTGACAGTTGTAGAAAAAATAATTTAGCCTGCTAATTAGTGGTTATATTTTAGTATCTCAGTTTTTGCTTTTGTTAACCTTACATGCCTACATTTGTCCAATTATTGGATGCTAGTTATTCTCATGTGTTAATTATATTACCGTATAGATTCGCCGAGAGATTCGCTTCAATTGAAAGTGATTATTCAATAAATCTTGCGTTGTGAGTATACCTTAAAAATGTCTGAAATTATTTTTAGTTACTAGTTGAAGGGATTGTTTTTTTTTGTCTTGTTTGGACAGACGATCCCTATTTAGACTTTTATTTAAAATGCACTATAGATATATATCACTAATCATACTTTTCAATTACCTACTCTGTCAGTGTAATCCACTGGAAATGTAAAAAGGATATTTCAACATTTTATTAATTCTTTAGTCATTAGAATAAGTTAGCATAATTAGTTGTTATATAGTAATATTCAATGGACCTGGAACTTAAGAAACTCATTATGACGTCAAAAGTGCAATGAAGTAATATAACTTAAACCGTTTTGTTTTTTTTTTATTGTTTTAATCATCTTAAACATGCTTGTATTGGCAAACTTTTTCCGGTGTATGATTTGGACCACCCTACCCTGTAGATACTTTGCGGGACGGCAAACTGCAAAACATGGTTTTATCTCTAAAGGTATGTGTTTTTAACCAAATAACCCAAATTCCAACCTTTTATTCATGTTTTCCCAAAATTTATTTGAAGTAAAATAATAGAATGTTTTTTTAAATATTATCTAGTAGCGTAGCATTAGGCAGCCCTAACTCAAAAATATGACCGGTGACCACCCCAAATTTTTGTGCAAATATTATCAGTAGAGATAGCACAATAACATACTACAATCTCACACAATTTCACCGATGCCGGTTTTCAATGTATTTAGTGCGGGGTCCTTTCGCATAGAATCGTACCTACCGATGATAGATAAAAATATAATATCCTAGCTTGAAGAGCCCCCACCATTACTATAGCCCCCGGCCCTGCCTGAAGCAAGACACTCGAAGGGGATGATTGGTAACCCCAGAGTGGTAGTATTACTAGCAGGACACTGCCATTTTGAAGCGCACATGCAGAAAATGAGAGTCTAAAATGGCCTAACGACATGTAGACTGTGTAGGGAAGAGGAGGAAACCGCCTTACACGTCATAATATACGACTGTGAATTGTGAAATACTCTGGATCGCAAAATACAAAAATTCCTGCTGAAATGGGTCATTTTATTTCCCGACAAAATTGTCTAGGATAGAAGAAATTATTTACAATTTTTTTTTTGTAGAAACGTATGTGGTTCACTTACTGGGGAACAATATGTGCAATGATGTACATATTCTTACATATTTTATTGCTCCTACAACTATATACGGTTTTATGCACATATTATTATAAACCAATTCAAATCTATGCACTCGATAATCGATATCTCATTTTTCAGTTAGAAGATTAGGTAATACCTTTGTAATTGATACATTTTCTGAGCAATTGTGTCGTACAGAAATTTATGTTTCAAGCATGAGATCCTGATCCTAATACTAATGCTAATGAGAAACCTACTACCTGCATCCTGCACTTAAAATTGGTTAAAATAGAAAATAGTGCCAGAAAAAAGCTGAAAAATAATGTTCTCTTCAAAGTTTCAATTAATTAATAACCTCAAATCATATGTATTTATGTTACTTTGTAGATAGAGCCGTATTATCAAAATTGTTCGTCGTCCCTGGAGGTTACACTCGTGTTGTATTTATCTTATCAATCACGTTTAAAATACTTTTTACAATAATTTTTCAACTAATTCGGTAATTTATTAGTAACGATTCGATTGATAAGCAAAAATTTGACGCAGTTTTATGTCACGTAACCCCAGCTTATTATCAAAGATTAAAACAGTTTCGATTTCATTATTACAAAAACCAATTTTAAAATTTTCAAAATACATGGGATAATAAAACCGTTTCAATGTGAAAAATTCTAACATAGAAACTATTTTTAAAACTTCAGTTTTTAAACGTGTGCATATTATCATTTGTAAATAAAAAAAAGCACAATTATAATTTGTCGGTATTTATTATTTATACATTCAATACAACCATAGAATGATACAACTAAAAGATCTGGTGGAGCTGCTGGTTATGGGAAAAAATAGACTTTGCTATAAGCTTGAGTATAGTTTGGCATCTTGCATTATCCTGCTAAAAATGCCCACCCTTCTGGAATGTACCTCATAATCTGTGCCATTTTTGATCCTCTTTATTGTCTCAGGAAGAGGGTGTACAAGAATTTTATTGTATTCGAGAAAATGCGTTCTTGTAGAGAAATACAATGTCGCCTTTTTCAGGTTTTAGTCAGTTGAAAATATAAGAGTTTTGTTGTGTTCAGTTTAAATAAACAATAAGTGGTCAGTAAATTTTTGTAAAGCCAATTTGTGCTATGAAAGTTATTACTGTTTGTAGAATGAGTTTTAGTGGACCTTGTCTGTTACATTAACGCACCAACTCTTGTAGCTTTTGGAACGAGATCATTCTCAGGTCATATTTTTAATATCGGGAATCTAAAATGCAATTCATATATTCTACAATCTTATTTAACTAATCACTATCCTGTTATAATAAATTTGCACATAAATCGACCAGACAATGACAGCACAACTAACACAAAGATTGTGGCTAGGAAAGTCAACTCAAAAAATGATGTGAATTTTTAAGTGTGCAACATGTGAGAATTTTTTTTTAGTGATAGCACAACCCAAATACAAACAAGGCCAAAAGTTGGTGCATGTCTGATAATCATATTAGGTGCACTTAGAATGGTTGCAAGTCAATCAGCATACAGGGTAGCTCAAAAAATATCAAAATTGCAGTAATATGTACTTAAATAAAATAAAACTTTTGCACTTTAAGGAGAGTTTTTTAATATGCATATTATCATCAGTAATGTTTTAACTTGTTAAAAAAAAATTGCGACATTTTAAAGTTGTGTTGAATATCATTGCAACAAACATGAACTTTGTGATTTAGAAAAAAATTAAAAATCTAAGTTAATTTTACAAATATGCCTGAATTTGAACAAAGTTATGTAAAATTGATTTGATTTAAATTAATTTGTGAAAGTATTAAGGGCGGAAATAAAAAATAAAAAAAATATAGAAATTATAGATTTTTTTCGAAAAAAAAAAAAAAAATTTAGGAGGCTATGTTTTGGTATTTAGGCATAACTTTTAATTTCAAACAACTTTTCTCTATAACATTTTGCTGAATTTTCTAAAATAGGGAAACTGTACAGTACAATTTTGATATTGTTTGAGCTACCCTGTATGCTGTTTGACTTACAACTATTCTAAGTGCACCTAATATGATTATCAGACATGCACCAACATTTCGCCTTATTTGTATTTGGGTTGTGCTATTACTAAAAAAAAATCCCACATGTTGCACACTTAAAAAATCACACTGTATATGAAAAAGCACATTTAAATACCGAAAGTCAACAAAAATATAAACCATAGATTTGTCAATTATTTGGCACCCAAGATCTACAACACTGTTTCTCTAGAAATGAAAGAATTATTCTGTTTCGAAAAAATGAAGGCCACTGAAAAAATTATTCTGTTTCGAACTATTTAAATTATTGTTTTAGATATTGTATATTATGTGTAGGTATCTCTAGTTGGAAAACATTGCCTGACATTTTTCTAATAGTTTATATTCGTTTTCACTGGCAGGCAAAGTCAGACAAATATAAATTTGCCGACGAAAAGAATGCGGACAGGTCCGTCAACTCCTACCCTTGACAATACATCAATAAGACGACTGGCTGCAGATAATTGATCCATTATATTTATTATGATGGCTACCTTCATAAAAACAAGTTCGAAAAGGTTCTCGATACAACCTTCCATGTATCCGCCATTTTTCTGCTCTTCGCCCCTGAGACGTCGCTGGCAAAATTAAATTTGCCAGCCTATACAGATGCTAGGTCATCTTACCTTAGGTGCCTTCCTCAACAAATTTGTCTATGAGGATTGTATCCTACTTTTTCACTACCTTTGAATTAATAAGTTAAAAAAAAGACATTCAATGATTTAGTTACAGTGTTAAACCATTTGACCAAAGCTGACTATATATTTCCAGCGCTTTGACGATCAGAAAACGTCCCTTTTATATCCTCACAATAATGTACTGTAATTATACCTTGATGGTGCTAAAAATAGGTACTGGCTAACGTTTAAGAAATTATTTTACGTTTGCGGAAATTGGACCAGATTCAGCCATGCTCATAGGCTTCCTGAGGAAAAGCCAATGACAGACATAAAATAAAAACAAATTATGACCGTATACAGTGGACATTCAGGTACCTATCTACCTATACTCTACATATAGATAAGACACCTCCTATATGTATTTTGATATGTGCACATAATTTACCTAAATCAGTAGTATTTGTATTTTCTTTGGCAATAGTAATTATTTCATCTGATTGAGGTTCCAAATCAATAACTTCGCCTTCCAACACTTTACAACATCCATCGCTAGGTTTACCATGGACACAGTAAATAACTCTTCTCGGGGATGCAACACTTGAAGATCGATTAAGCGCGCCATAGTTGTTGTTGCCTGTGGGGCTGCTAGAAATAGAACAAACTTTATCAGGCATTGATTTATTTCAAAAATAATCCGACACTTACATTATATTCACTTTTTCTTGGTTATTATACATTTTCGGATGCTTTTGTTTGCAATTTTGACTTTGTTTTATTTAAACCCTATGCACACATTACGTTGGCGAAAAAATTATTAAAGCTTATTCACAATCACTTTTAGTCAACTTTAACACCACACAAATGCAATGCACCCGAGACTACAGTGACAAAAACGTTATAATTTTTATCCTGATACACGATTTGTTCAGAGTTTATCTTTACGAATAAGAGCCGAACAATACCGTTTTCTTAAATGTCAACAATTCTGTATAAATAGTCATAATAATCTGGTAGGAAGAGTTTAAATAAAATATCAACTATTTAAATACGTACTCACTCAAAGATAACTTAATACAATAATATTCTTGTTTGTTTTTCTGCATGTTTTTTATCAGCCTACAAGTATGAGATTCTGTAGTTAGATACACCAGTATTAAAATGATACTATATTTGGAGCGAGGAGCGAGGAATATAATAAATTATACATCTCAATTGATTGGTAATTTCAATTATTGTCTGGATCTTGAACCCACGAGGTAAGTATGCCATCAGGAAGCCCAGGAACAATAATTAATTATTTATTTCATTAGACCACGATAAGTAGGTAGGTATCCTGTTCCTAGTTTTTTTGTTCGTATTGTGATTGCACATTAGACTAAAAACGTTCCAACCTGATTACCTATTTCTTTTTTTTTTGTTTTTTACAATGTCCTTGACACGTTGAAAATGAAATATTGTCAAATATCATAGACCTTTTATCCTTGTGTCTCGGATTACGCGAATCCGCTAAAAGTCTATTCACTAACAACAACAACTTTTATTGAACTAATAGACTCCACAAAATTGATATATCTCTAACCGCGTAACTTAAATTTGCAGTGTCCCGAGTTTTTTTGGTGAAAGTTGTCCGATAGATCCTTGGCCTATCATAGTCCTGGCTGTTCTAGACATTGTTGGTTCCTTTGCCGGTTCTCTTCCTGTCTGAAGATTTCTTGGATGTGCGAATTACCGAGGCCACAGAATAGTTTTGGCCCAGTGAAGGGAGTAGAAACTCCCGTTCTCGCAAGTGTATCTGCGCACCTAGAGGAGGCGGGTTACTAGGATTTTCTTTTTCCTATTTCATTGAGTTTCTCTAGATATTCCCATACTATCTTTGGAATTGATGTCTGGGGAGTTCAATGCTTTGATAGCAGCTAGGCTGTCAGACATTATTATAATTTCTTGTTCCCAAATTCCTCTGTTCAGGTTTTACAGCACGCGTCTTTCGATTGCATGCAATACCGCTTGAAAGATGCGTGGTGATTTGCCCATTGGTTCGTGGCCCGATACTCCTGAGTCCTGCTCCAAATCCCTCACAAGTTTTGGAACCGTGTGTATACTATTTGACGGTGTTGGCTTTTAGGGATAGGAATAGATTCTCTGTTTCATATGTTTTTCGTACTTATCTCAATGGATTTTTTTTCTCGAAGCTGAATTTCTTGAAAATCTTACCTTCTAGTAAGTAGAATGCATTCTTCCTTGAATACCGATCTTCGCCAGTCTAAAGGCACGTTCTCAGAACTATGTAGTGTCGCCAGCGACACTTTACCCACCACCCTGTCGCTCAAAAACCAGCGACAGCAAAATGACAGTTGTTCCTGACCCTAGTCGCCATTTATTTATTTTTTTGAGGTGAGGTTTTCCTTTTTGTTCATAAACATTATAGGTAACTTGTAAGCAACTGTGTTGTTTATTTTTGTTATTTTTTGGTAATTCCGATAAAAGAAAACTCAGAACATGGATAAAGAGCCGATTTATTAATACATATTAAGACGAAATAAAGCAATAATTCTCAAATAGGTTTACAGAAAAAAACTTTTAAAAAAACCTTCTAATATTGTATTTAATTATACTGAGGTATTTCAGTTTATTTCGGTCAAGAAAATAGTTGAAATAAATTATCAATGAAAGGTATTAGAAATTAGAAAAAAAAGACATAACATAAATTGAAAGGAAATAAAGCGATAATTCTTAATTTATTATTATAGTTTATTTCTGTCAAGAGAACGCTCAACATAAATGAACAATGATAGGTAACAGAAGTTAGAAAGACTGAAAATTTATTTCAGTCATTTTGAAATAAACAAACTAAAACATTAGATGGCTGAAAGCAAGCAGCCAACTGAACATAAATTAGAACGAAATAACAATTCTCAAATAAGTTAACAGAAAACACTTAAAAATATAACATACTCTTAGTATGGTGGCGTATGATTGAATAAAGTCACAACAAATTCGTCTCAGAATGTGTGTTGTCGAGCTTCTTGCGTCATCAAATCGTTTACTGAAAAAATAGAACAAAGATTTACAAAAGCAGTTCCAAATTTTAATATAATATCTTGAATAAAATAGAGTAGGAGTTATATTTTGCCATTTACAATTCTTCTACTCTAAAATCATTATGGTATTTATATAGGTAGGTACAAAACATACATTTCTTCATTTGTTGCAGTTCCTTTTGCAGCTCTTCTTCTTTTTTCTTAGACACCACCAGATCCTGTTTAACAGCTTCAAAGCTCTCCTCATTAAATTTTCTTTTGTATTCTTCGAAGGATTTTTGTAGTTTGTTACACTATAAAAATAAGTTAAATTTTGTATTATCTACCCATCAATTTATGTATGATATGTAGTCGCTAAACATTTTTGTATAGAAACTAAACCAACATAGGTAATTCAGAAAGGAAAGATAGTTTACAAACAGCGTGCAATAATTCTCTTGGATTCTATTATTTTATATACTAATTAAAAATTACCTGTTGAGCTTTTTTGTCATAAAGAGTTTTCAAGCCAACAACCGATTTGCGAGCCTCTTCCGCATCCTGAAAAAAATTATCGAGGGTGTTTTCGTTCTCAGTCACTACAATGTTTAGTTTTCTTAGCTTATTCACCAATTCAATCTAAAAAAAAAACATATTTGATAAAATGGAAAATAAATTTTGAAGACTTTAATTGAATTGTGACAATGCGGCCTAACTTGGCAAATACCTCTCTCATTTTCGAATTCATTATAATGCGGTGTTGGCCGTCTACCAGTTCTCCCATATTGATCAAAGACTCTTCCAAAGTAGCAATTAAAATATGCAAAGCATTATTATCTTCGTTTAACTCATCAACCAGGTTATTAGATTCAATGTTTTCCACTCTTAGGTTCACTATGTCCTCCATGAACTGATCAGTTGAATAGAATGTTAGCTTGATGTTTTCCTTTTCAAAAATTTCAATAGCTTTTGTTTGCAGTTTGTTAAGTTTATGACTAAATGATAATATGTTCGTCGGACCTTGGTTTTGGATATGGACTACTCTCGATGTGCCTATGGATTGGATGTCATGTACACCCTAGAGAAAAAAATATTGTAAGAAGCGTTAATATAGCAATTTTAGTTTTCCTAAAGCAAGAATTACACCAACAATCCCTCCTAGGTGGCTGAATGACTGCTTAGTCAAAGTCAAAGTCAAAAAAAAAAAAAAAAAAATCCATCCTAGAATTATTATCAATTCGCAAATTTCTCCGAATTCGGTTTTACACAGATTCTTGAATGTTCACTATTGAAAGTTACATAGGCGCCGGAATTTCAAAATTACTATGGGGGCTCGGGCTCCAAAAATTACCAGAAGTAGAATTAATTATATAGCAGGACTAGACTACTACATACATAGAGTTAAATGGGACCAGTTGACAGAGAAAAATTTCACTGCATATTATAAAAAATTCGTGCGTTTCCGACAGCTCGGCTATATTCGGCTTGGAGTAGCCAGGATTTTGTCTTGAGGAGAGGGCGTAAAACTCTAGGGAGAAATCCTTGAAGCTCCGCCGCAGTCTTTTTACGGTATTTTTGGGACTTCTAATGGTGGGGGCAAGCGAGGATGCGGCCATTTTCACAAATTTTGAAAAGAATTTATAGTAGAACGTTACTTTTATTATAATATCATAGGTATAAATATATCAAGGCAAAAACATATATTTTGAAAAAAAAAAAACGAAAAAACGATAAAAAAAATAAACCTAACCCATTTAGGGGATATTTGAGATCCCCTTTAGACCGTCATGACAAAAAAATTCAAAACTGCCTTTATTTTTATTTTTTTAAATTTCAAAGCATCCTAGCTGGAAAACAAAGAGCCTGAGAGAAAAACCTTAAATACAAAACCTGTAGATCTCATTCAGATCTACAAAATAGCTTATTAGAGTTACCCCTCCACAGGGCACCGTTTTTAAGAAAATCTACTTTAATTTTTTTTTGAAAATAATCCTTTATTATTTCTTTATAATATGTTTAACAATATTTAACAGACTCTCCAATCAGTGCTGAAGGCGCTGGCCTCGAGAGTATAATTAATAAACTTTTAACAATTAACCAACTTCAAACTTTCAATACATTCTCAGAGAAATTTCAACTTGATCTCGGAGACAGAAACAACCTGGAATATCAATAAAAACCAATTTTGTAGGTAATTTATTGCTCTTTCGAAGGAAACCTGATCGGAGACAAGCGGTTCGAAATTACCGAAGTTATAAGCGAAAAAGTGGTGCCGTGTCGGGTCCCCAAAATTTTCCAGGATCAAAATCTTTATTATTTTTTCCCGGGCTTACGAAGCGTCGGAGCGAAAAACACGAGGAGACATTTTCGACGTATTTTTGACTCCTCTATCCGGTGCTGTTTTATTTTTCGAAATTCGGAAAAGTAAATGCAGGGCGTGTATGCACCATTACACGCCCTTCTCTAAAATTGAGGGGATAGGGGCTAAAACCCCTCCGGTAGGACCGAGAGGGCTGAAACTTGGAATATCAACTTTTCTGGAGCCCTTTCACCTATATTCCAAACTCCATCCAAATCGACCAAAAAAAAAATAATTTAGGGGTCCCCAGAGGGCTTTACTTTCCAGATAGGGTCTCTCCGTATATATTTTTTTTTTTTCGATAAAACTCCTACTCCACTGGATTCGTACCAAATTTCAGCTCGATAGGATCATTGGTTCGCCCTCAGCGAATTTTTGAAATTTTTTCCATGATAAACTAGGTAAAAAAAGCCAGTGTATTAGGTACCTACATCATGATATATTCATGTGATGTAAACATACCTATCATGAAAACCAACGGAAAGGAAATAATAATCTAACGACTTATTGAAAATACAGGTTTAAATACTACACAACAAAATATTCAAACTGTTTGTTAATGTAGGTATAGCAAAAACAACGAAAACAAAAAATACACAAAGGACCTCGCACACTTCTTATGGGATTTCTGACCGCGGTCAAATTCAACCAAATTTTAGTATGCTATACAGTGCCCGCGGAAAAGTCTGCACCATATGGGAATTTTTTTCATGCTCATCCTTACTTCAAATTGGTTTTCGGCATTAGGTTCTGCATGACTGAAAACCAGAAAAATACCTAAAATTTTTGACTCGAGTCTTGCCTCAAATGCCATTTGAAAATTTCAAACAAGGAAAGGGCATTTTTATAAAAACAATATTTTCTTATAAAATTTTTTCATATTTTTTATAAAAATGCCACTTTTCCTTGTTTGAAATTTTCAAATGACATTTGACAGGTGTGAGGTAAGTCTCGAGTCTAAAATTTCAGGTGTTTTTTTGGTTTTCAGTCATGCAGAACTTAATACCGAAAACTGATTTGAAGTAAGGATGAGCATAAAAAAATTTCCCATCCGCGGGCACTGTAGATCTCATCTTTCTGATCAATAACTATCATGAACACAACTTAATCCTATGACTACTTTGTGAGATACAGGTAGTTTAATGTCCAAGAAATGTACACATTTTATATGCATTTCATCTACCTGTCACCCGCGCGTCAGGATTCCTGTACATCGGTATTAGACCCTGAGATAGGGCCTGATTAGTGGAGTCATTTTTTTTTGTCTGGCATTTTGAGGGATGAATGTGACTAGTTAGCTGATGAGAATATAAGTGGTTTTGATGCCTGCCGCCTGTTCGAAATGTCCACAGAATGTTTCGCCGGAAAACTCGACTTCGAACTGGGATTACTGTCTCGCGATTTTTCAGCGATATTTTCACAACAAAACCTTCCATTCTTTCGATTACCAGACAAAAAGTAAACGCGAAAGGTTCTTTTCTTTTCTCTTGGAAGTTGACACTCTTTCCCACTTTTTTAGCTATTGAAAAGCATCTAGTATTTTTTATGGGTGAATTATTTATCAATGTTAATCTTTTATTTAGAAGCCAAAAAATTTGAGATCATTAAAAGAAAATTCCTCATGTAAATCAATTTTTTTCTTCTGCAAATTTTCGAACGGGAGGCAGGCATTACAATCACTCATATTCTTATCAGCTTAGTAGCCACATTCAGCCCTCAAAATGCCAGACAAAAAAAAATGACTCCGCTAAACAGCCCCTATCTCACAGTCTATAATATTATTAGGTGACAGGTATATGTAAATGCATATAAAATGTATACATTTCTTGGACATTAAACTAGGTACCATAAACTATTATAAATAGTTTGTGGATTAGGTTGTGTCCATGATAGTTATTGATCAGAAAGGTGAGATCTATAACATACTAAAATTTGGTTAAATTTGACCGCGGTCAGAAATCCTATAAGAAGTGTGCAGGGTCCTTTGATTTAAAAATAAATAGGAACTCAATATTTTTCTACCTATCCACTACATACAATACCTAAATCACTACGGGGGCTCAAGCCCCCATTGCCCCCATGGTTCCGGCGCCTATGGAAAGTTAAACAAAATTGGGAAAAAGCACAGGGCCGCCGCTAGGGTGTTAGTCGCCTGTGTGCCCAGACAATTTTCGCCGCCTCACTCCACTCTAAAGTACAAAATTAAGAGCGTTGGAATGGAATACAATTTTCAGACTTGACTTAGCTTATGGGCCGTGGTAAAGACGAAGGAAAGACCACACAAAAGGAAGACGCACATCTGTAGTGACGTCACAATGGTATCGGCCAATGACTATCGGCGCTTGACAACAATAGGCATTCCTCTTTGCTTATAATCCGTTGGTATGCGTCAATCTTTCGTCAACTGTCATTCAGTGGCTCTCTTTCTGTGTCTCTCTACGCTACATCTTTCTTCTCTCTCGTGTAACGAAATTTGCCAAAACGTGACGCGTCTTCCATATCACTTTCCATTCTCGTCCAAATATCAAACCGCCGCCTAAAAGGGATACAATAGAAATTTGAGAAGAAATACTTTCGGTTTATTTTCTTTATAGCTTGATGGGTTTATTTGTTTAAGTGAATTATTCTCGATAAAACTCGATGGGTATGATTTATTTTGAAGTGAAACTTCTTAGGCGGCGGTCTGATATTTGGATCAAAATGGAATAGAGAGTGATTTAAAAGACGCGTCACGTAACATCACGTTTTGAGAAATATCGTTACACGAGAGAGAAGAAAGATATAACGTAGAGAGATGGAGAAAAACAGCCAATGGCAATGACAGCCGACGGAAGATTAATACAAACCAAGGATTATAAGCAAGGAAGATTGCATATTATTGTCAAGCGGCCCGATACCCTTGTGACGTCACTACAGATGCGCGTCGTCCTTCTGTGTGGTCTTTCGATCGTCTTTAACCCGGCTCATATGCTAAGTCTGAAAGTTGTATGAGTTTTAAGTTTCACTTCTACCATAGGTGTACGGCGCTGCACATGATGTCGGCTGTGTGTTTTGAACACACCGCACACTTGGTAGCGGCGGCGGCCCTGAAAAAGCAAATGAACTAAAAGCAGTATACCTACCTACATAAAATAAAAACAGAACCTAGCCAAGTTATAACATCGGAATACACTAACCATGCATTTTAAATTGCTTAATGCTAATTTTAATTAAACAAATACATATTCAATACATGTGGATGTTTTATGAGTAGTATAACCATGTGAGTTTCTCTAGTCTTCTTTCTGAGTTCTAAAAAGGTACCTATACTAGATTTCTTTTCGAAAATCCTACCTGAAATTCTTGTTCTTCGGATTGCGATTCGTCTATAGTTTCATCTAATTTCAGATCCACAGTTAAAAGTACGAGGTATCCCATTTTGGCTTTCATATAAAAAATTAATGTGCACTTCCTACCAAAAATGTGACATTCCAAAGACCTAAAAGACCATTATTATGTACCTACCTAATAATGTATCAATTTTATCGTTAGCAGTTTTGGAACCAATGGAAAATAGTTTAAAAATTCTTTCTATTCATATTTAAACATTTACTTTACAAGTTTTTGTATCTAATTGGCTCTTGTCGATGCTGAAACCCGACAAGATATTATACTTACATTTTGTCTTCCTGATACTGACGCAGCATAGCGACAATATTCTCTTTGAACCCTGAAAAGTTCATTTCCAATGATTGGGCGGATCGCATCACTTCGAAATTTTCAGGGTCGACAAAGTCAATATAGTTGAAGGAATGATTGGTCCAGTCCCTGATCTGAATTTGCTAAAAAATTAAATCATTTTTCAAAACACACCATTTATGGGACATCAAAAACAAACTTACTAAAACTTCAAGATTCTTGGTAAGAATAGGTTGTATAGATATACAGGGTGTCCCAGGGAAAACAGTCCACCCCGATTTATTGGATTTGGGATGAAAATCTGGAAAAACGCTCGGACACGTCTATTTTTGATTTGAGGGGGAACTATTTTTCAGTTTGTTTTATCCCCGTAGCTTCAACCCCTTAGCTAGGGGGAGAACAACCCCCCAAATTTGAATAGGGGATAGGGTCGTGTCATATCTCTTCACAAAGGTCTGATGGAGTTCTTTATGGCCTTAGAATTTCATATCATTATTTTCATCCGTAACGAAATGACAGCTTGTCAAAACTTGCAAATAGACTATTGTTTTAGTAGGAGTAAAAGCGAATAAAGCGATACTTACCTCCCTTAATAAAAATACTTGAAATTGAAGTTTTTTATTATTATTATTATTAATGAGGTGTACACGAAAACTGTAAATTGTAGGTATTTTTACTCGTATTTTTATTAAGGGAAGTAAGTACCGCTACTTAAACTTACTCCTACTAAAACAATTAATAGTCTATTTCCAGGATTTTGACAAGTCATTTTGTTACGGATGAAAATAATAAGACGAAATTCTAGGGTCAAAAAAAACCCGATGAGACCTTTGAAAAGAGGTATGACACGACCCCTATCCCCTATTCAAATTTGGGAGGTTGTTCCCCCCTAGCTAGGGGGTTGAAGCTACGGGGATGAAACAAACTGAAAAATAGTACCCCCTCAAATCAAACATCGACGTGTCCGAACGTTTTTCCAGATTCTCATCCCAAATCCAATAAATCGGGGTGGTCTGTTTTCCCTGGGACACCCATAACTTTCGCTTGTTCAAAATACTTTGACCAAGATAATTATTATGCAGATAATTTACAACATAAGCTACTTGGAGTTTCCGTCCAGTTTCAAAAATGGATCTAACTTCGAAGCTAACATTTCCAAATCAAGGGTAGCGGGTAGCTATTATTGACGAAGTTGATCCATGTGAGCCTTTTTTTTCAGTCAAAATCAATAAAATATCTGGAGCACCATTGGATCTGAATTTCGAACATCTTGCAAGTTACATTTGTCACAAAAAAAGATGCTGAAGGTCGGAGGAGTAGTCAGCCTCTGCAGTTTCATGAGTAAAAGAAATTCAAAGAAAAGCTATTTGCTTTGACAAACTTTTGGCCTATTTTATCAGGGTGAAATTTTAAGTGATAGAAACCCTGTATGTTTGTTTATTTCTGGATAGACCTTAACAAGACGATTTCAAGGATCTGCTGAGGTCATGCTTTACCGACTTATTCATAATTATTTTCATAAAAATATCCTGAATTCTAAATTTTTCCGGCGCACCCTGATACGGTTTCTCCTCATTATTTTTGAAGCCGTTCTTACTGAACGTGATCTGTGATTGAACTATGAAATCTGGTATACCTACTGCATAAACTTTCCATGACGAATCTGAGCTCAAAATTTCAAAATTTTAATCAGAAACGAACCTGCCATACTGCGGAAGAGTAAAAATATATAGGCACCATTTTTGGTGCGCATCAATTATCAAGAAAATGAACTGACAGTAGAGAAAACAAGCTCTTCAGATAAATAGAGCGAAAAAATAAAATATAGCACAAAATAGGTTTTCTCAAAAATTGGCTTGTCGATTTCATCTAAACTACCACAGTTCTTCAGATTGTTAGGAAGCAGTCCTGAACAATATGGAGGAAAGTAATACCTATAGAATGGAATGGAATTGAAAAATATTTTATTGTCAAAAAATGCAAAATTCCACAGGAGCAGATATTTCTCTTTGTAAAATGAACAAAGTAATGCCACATCAATTTATAAACGGAGAAATAATCATTGAAATTCAAAGTGTTAGAGATGACTTAAGATTTTTTTCAGGTGGGGAGACGAAAATGTGTTTGAAAAATTATGCTTTTCTTGCATGTGGTGGACGAAAAATGTTCCTGTTCTTCCAAATGGAATTTTGGGCAGACACTCTGCTAGTATAGGTTGGCAACTGTGAAAAGTGCGTTTCGGTCTGCGGTGAAGGGGGAGGAAAAAACGATATGGAAATACACAGTTACAATGGAGTAGAGCGATATAGAAATATTAGTTCGCATATTTGCCGCCGGCAAATTCTCGCTGATCGCCCTTTAAATACCAGGGTCAATTAAATAATCATGACTATATTAAACAATAACTTTAAAACTAGATCTATAAGAATATTGAATAAGAACTGAACCGAAAAACATCAGAAATAGCAGATAAGAGGATTTCCGAATATCTTTGCCTTGAATTTCCATTAGGGATTACCAAATAATTTCTAAAAGCAAAAACTTAAATTAACAGTTTCAATATAGATTATAGAAGTCCTATTCGAGGTCCTATACCTAGTACCTAAAAAAAACAATAAATGATAAAACAGCATAGAGACTTTTGCATAGAATTAAGGGCGATAAACCAATCTGTATCTGAAAAATTTCCTTTGCCAAGAATTGATCAAATACTAGATCAACTAGGTATCTGCGTAGAGCGAGGTAGTTATCGGATTTCATAAAATATTACTTGAAGAAAATTCCAGAGACCTTTAGCATAGAAACCTACAGGATTATACCAATTTACATATTTTAGAGAATTATGAGTATTGCATTTGCATGCATTACAAGTGAAAAAGCATTTTTATAAATAAACGTTATTATGACCATATAGGGCTGCCATCCGTCCGGATTTCCCCGGATTTGTCCTAATTTTAAAGGCGACCGGGGAGCATCTAAACATTCCGGTATAGGATTCGGCACCTAGGCATATTTCATTGGTCCGTTTGAATTCGGACAGCCAATTAATGCGGAGTGCCGAAATCCGTACTTGAATGTTGAATGGTGCTGAGCCTCAGGTCGGAATGGTATATTCATATACTATGTGGAGTGCCGAATCAAAGGTCAAAATGTTAAACAGTGCCCAGCTGCAGGTTGGAATGTTAATCCGTTAGCGCGGTACAAAATCAACAAGAAACTTTATTTACTTTTTGTTACACATTTATTTTATTTCAACGATATATATTTCAAAAAATTTGGACAATAATTTGCAGTGGCGGACCCAGGGGGGGGGGGGGGATTATAAAAACCTGAAACCTGGCAAATTAGAATAGAAAATTTTGAAAATAAATACCCTGATATGTTTATCTTTTTTTTTTGTATCTGTGGTGCTTAGTTTAATTAAAATATCAATTGAAGCCAGGCAACAGCAGTTTTTGGATTTTCCTTTCTTATTATTTCCTTGATCCACTTTTTTATAAGCACTATGATGGGATAAAAAACATATCTAAAAAATGTATTTTCCAAAGTCTATTCGCATCCAAGAAGATTCTACGTCATTGAATTGACATTGAACACAAACCTGCATTTGAATCTGTTATAATTATTTTTCGCTGACTTCACATTCCAATTCGTGTATATCGTTTTCCTACAAAATGTTGGCTCGGTAAATTTGCTCACCACATTGAAAGTGTTTAAATGATCCAGGCAAACTCATCTTGCATGTTTAAGCACAAGAACACATGAAGCAACGGCGAAATAAACCGCATCCGCCGCAAAATTGTAGCCAAGAGGAACACGAAGGAGGTGGACAGCTGATTTAATATAAAAACCGCGCCAAACGCATGGCAACATTCGGACCTGATACTCAGCACTGTTTAACATTTTGACCTTAGATTCGGCACTCCACATAGTATTATACCATTCTGACCTGAGGCTCAGCACCGTTCAACATTCAAGTACCGATTTCGGCACTCCGCATCAATTGGCGGTCCGAATTCAAACGGACCAATGAAATATGCCTAGGTGCCGAATCCTATACCGGAATGTTTAGATGCGTCCGGGTACGTCCGGGGGGATTTTTGAAGTTATCCGTGTTTTACGCTTTACGGCATCTTGAAAAAAATCACGAATAACTCCGCGAAATTGACAAGAATCATGGAAATCGTCAATCGACATCATCAGTTTTATTTAGCCCGCGTGTGCGCGACTCAAGTTTCATGTTCACGTGTCGTTAGTCATGTTTGGAGCTCGGTTAAAGCTATAAAAAACCCCAAAAAAAAAAATTTTTTTTACAAAATAATGAGTGGTTCTCGAAGGCTTGAAATAAAATTTTTTGGGCATGGCACCCGAAAAAAATCTTCTGCCTCCAGCGGCGCCTAAGGTGGGCTACCCTTTAGTGGTGTCCGGGTTTGAGGGGTTAGAATCCGGGGTTTTCGTAAAAATTGTCCTAGGTAACAAATTTCATAAATGGCAGCCCTATGACCATAGGATTTTGAAAAAATCATCATTTTGGAAAGTGCAGGAAATTTAGTTGAACCCCGAAAAATGCGCATTTCTCCAACAATGAGTAGGTACCTAACGTATCTAAGACATTAATTACAAGTACCTAAAGGAATATAACCAATCGATAAAAAGTGATATACATGACGACGCCAGACAAACTCAGACGCTTTTATTGCATTTTGCAACTACGCATTATCACAGGTTTTCTCAACACTTCGCAGAAGTGGCTATGCAAGGATTTTCACGCAAAAATATACTCTGGGGTCGAGGCTGTTTGAAAGAGGTAGGTTGCCTGATAACTTTTATGACGTCATCTGGGGTGCCTAAACATAATGCAAATCTCCATAAGGCACCCTAGATGACGTCATCTGTTTCCAATTTCCAGACAACCTATTAACTTTAAGAACCTTGCTCTCGGGTCATACTGATAGGGCTCTCTTTCTATTTGGTTCAGAGCATAGAACCTCATTATGAATTCAAACACACAAAAAAGGGGTCGAAAACAGGGTGGGCATTGTAGGTATAATACGTGAATGTAACAGAAGCATAAACCTAGTTTCAACAATATTTCAGCGATTCAATATGTTTATTCTCCAATTGAATAACAATATTTACATAG